AATATATTCTTGCATTGCAAAAAGCTATTGATGACTTAGAAAATTTTCTTTTAAATAAGGAGTTTGGAGATTATTGAGACGTAATTTATTTTTTATTTAGTACCTTGACCATATTTAAAATACGAAATTTTGTAACTTATCATAATAGTTGAGTTATGAATCAAAAAAATCATTTAATAAAATATATAAATATATTCTTGCATTGCAAAAAGCTATTGATGACTTAGAAAATTTTCTTTTAAATAAGGAGTTTGGAGATTATTGAAACGTAATTTATTGTTTATTTAGTACCTTGACCATATTTAAAATACGAAATTTTGTAACTTATCATAATAGTTGAGTAACGAATCAATAAATAAAACATATAAAGTAATAGAACAAAGATCACAACTATGTGTGAGGAGGTTTTCTTTTAGCACATTCTTTTGACAAAATTTTAATGCAATCATATTTTGTTAAACAAAAAAGTAAAATCAAATCCGATTAAGCCTAGAGTGGCCCACTTTATTTCGCGCATAAACTTCATATGAATAAACAAAATTTTGAAAGCGTAGAGAAAAACTAATTTCTGTTCTAAAAATTAGTATTGAATAACTACAATATTGAAAATGCGTAACATCCATTGTAAGTTACATCGTAAGTTATATGACCTTATGTAAGTTACAAATATATAATAGAAAGCAGACTAACTTTAGTATTAATGTTAGCCAGAAGTTCTGGCTAAAATTAATTTGTTTTGGCTCAGAACAAATTCTAAAAAATATGAATGGCTAACAACATCACGTGATGCAATCCGTTGAGTGAAAACGTGCGTAACAAGTATAGTAAGTAGTTGATATATTATGTAACTTATATTTTAAAAACAACTTACAGTTTTTACAGTACTAAGAGAGGTTAAAAGAAGTTAGCATCAACTGTATTGGTAATACATTTTCGAATAATTTGTTCTTTTTAAAACATTCAGTCCGAAATTTAGTCGACCCAAATTTCGAGATAATTTTAGGCATAATTTTAATCTGGCCTAAATTTTATGAATTTTATGTTAGATTTGGTATAATTTTTAGATTACTGACATAATCGTATAATCAATTTTTATAAATTTGGCAGTAGAAATTGTATAAACTTGTTATTGCCGGTACTAACTCAAAGTTGGCCTAGAATAGATTCGTAACTCTAAATAAACATAGTAAAATTAAGAATAAATTCATAATTCTAGTAAAAATAATTAATTTGCAACAGATAGGGTTGTGTTAACTTACATTGCTTAAGCAGAGACATCATTAAGATGAAAAAGAAAGACATTTTGTATTGTATAACTTATAGTAAGTTATTCTAAATACATTAAAGATACAACTATTCATAATTTCACGATTAAGGCATTAATATTCTTAAAGTAAATATAAGAGAAGGCAAATCCAGATTTATTTTTTTATTTAGTTTTTATTTTAAAAAAAAAATCACAATTTAGAATCATTAAATCTATTGTTTAAAAGATTCATTACATTGAAACAAGTTTTTTTAAAAAAACAACATTGCAACATTGTAAAGTATCTTGACAAAAGAAACAAAAACTATAAAATTAACAATGTGCCACAACCCTTTCTTTACGTCACTTTTCCATTCACATAGCTCCTATTTTCAAGTATTAAAGCTTCTTTTTCAACTATTAAAGCTTCTTCCCTTAACCTCAAATTTTTATTATTATCTATAAGTCGTGCTATTCTAGTTTTATTTATAAAATTTGTATACAAGGTATCTTCAGAAGGGATTTTATTATTATTTTTTTTTCTTTAGCTCTAAGTTCTTCTCGCAAATTCTGCACTTCAATCTTAATATGTTTAATGGATCCAGTTTTTTTCTTTCGAGCCATCTAGTAATAACAAAAAATGTTGTTAGAAAAGATATTTTCTATGTACGATACTAGAAATAGGAATAACAAAAAATTTTATAAATTAACGAAAGTTTTAAAAGGAAAATATCTGTCGGGGCGCATACTTAATAAGTACATATTAATGATCGAAAATAGGAGTTGCCAACAATTAGCTCCCCAACGACCAAGAATACTCGCTCATCCAGACACAGAAGACCGGCTTCACCCAGCGAAGTTTGCCCAAGTGTCGATACCTTGACAGAGCTAAGCTCACAGCCAAAAAGTATACGTGCTTTAATGGAATAAATTTTTATGAGAATATTTGCTTTGTAGTACTGGTTGTTTTTCCTCGGTTTGCTTAAGTTTTCATAACGTGTGAAAGTGTATTATGGCAAACGCTAAGGGTGGTTGTTTTCCACGTTTTTTAATTTCCTAATGATATATAAAAAATTATTATACAGATTGTCGATCCAACTAGAAAAGTTATTACCCGTACCCAAATTATTTTTCTTACTAGAATTACGAATTAATTCTACTGTACCTATTACTGTGCCTAGGGTTATAAATTATTGTTAAAATAATGAATTAATTATACCCTAATTATTTTTACTAAAATTACGAATTAATTCTACTATACCTAGAGTTGTATAAATTGTTACCGTAATGCTGGTAGGAATTGTTATATTATTTAGCCAAAATACTAGGCAGGGATAATCAATAGAACACTTACTTTTTATATGTAACACAATGTTTTAAATAAACTTTTAGTTTGTTAGTAGGACGTAATTTCACGATAATTAAAACAAAGTTAATATTCTTTAAGTAAATATAAGAGGAGGTAAATCCATATTTATTAATTAAAACTATATGTTTCTATAATTAATAGTATAAAAATATAATATTAAGTTGACTTTGTAGCATATTTGACTCTGATAAGATTGATGTTGCTAACTTAAATACAATAAAAACGCTAGTTATTTAATAATCTCATTCTAAATTAATCTAATTTATAACTACGGGGTTGAATATTATAAACCATCCCACTACCAGAAATTTTTTTACTTTGTAGATCACAAGTTACATTATAGATGCATGCGTATGCCGCCGCCAAAACGTGTTTAGAGTCAAGGGTATATTCATATAAATCTAATGTAAATTGGGATGACGTGAATTAAATTGTATCTACTATTTATTTATTTGTTTCGAATTCTTATTACTTGTAGAAACCAATGTTTATTTTATGTCCGATGCTATATAACCATAATTTAGAACCCAATACGTCTATAAATTTTATGAAACAATGCTTATCCTTTCTAGACAAACTTATAATTCTGATATATGTGTGAATACTAAATTCATATGCTTATATTACTATATTTCAAACTATTATAAAAAAATATTGTAGTTAGTTAACCACAATATTCGCATAATTCCTTTTTATTTCCATAGCAATCTTCACATTCCATCTATTCTGGTGAATCGTCATTACTAAATAATAAGTTTAATTTGAAAATTCTTACCTGATCGTTATCATGAATAGATTCAATATCATCGATATGCCAAATATTAATTCAACTAAAAAAATTGTTGAAGAAATTTAATATGAGAGCAAAACTTTTCCTGAAAATAATATTAAACACATGAGTATTTGAATTAATACCACTAAGTAGATTTATTTATAAGATATTGATGTAGTAAGAATAGATATAACATCCTAGAGTCTAGGTTATGTTGGAGCAATTCAATATTGACCCTGTTCATATCTGAATATAGTTTTATTAAATAAAATAAATCTTACCTATTTATTTTTTTAATTCAAATGGTTTCTTTTTCGATGATTTCATGGATACGCTAGAATAATTTTATAATTTTACATCATTGGAGAAAAAACTACTGAATTGTCACATGCTGAGTTTAAATGTCAAATACAATCAATCAGAGCAAAACGACGTGCAGAAATCAAAGATGCTTTTGAAGAACTCCGTAAGCAGCTCCCAACCACTTATACGGATTGCAAGATGAGTAAAGCTGTTTTACTTCAGAAAGGTGATCACAGCTTTTATTTATATTGATACTATTTAACAATGAAACATATAATTTGCAGAACCCACCACAATTATTGTCAACTTTTGTATAAAGCTGTCTCGCATCTTAAGAATCAGTCAAGGAAGGTGTCTTTTCTTCTCGATGAAATCAATCATTTAACTCAAACTTGTATCTATTTAAGCGAAGAATTGGAAAAGGAGAAAAGGTAAAAATATTATTTTGCTAACTAGAATGGATATTATTATGTTAACTAGAATATGTTATTAATATCTATTTAATTGATTTATTCAATTTATTTTAATTCCTAATAGGATGAATGCATTAGATAGACAAAAGCAAACTCAAAGCATTAAATCAACTTATCTTTAACTATGCTAAAAATAGGCCATTTTCATATTAAATCCCCACATCAAATCTTATTTTATATAAACAATTGAATAAAAGATCATAATATTTTTAATACATAATAAAAACTCTAAATTTCTTAACGTTTTGCTGCATATTCAACTATTCTTAATTATAATTGCATAAATATTTCTTAATTGCATATTTAGTTCACTAAGTTGATATTTAATAAATTAATTAGTTAAAATGAATTGAGCTTCAGAATTGCTTCAGAATTGCTAATATAATTACCTTAATTTTACTCAATACTAAGTTTACCAATTTCTCAAATAAATCAGGCTCTACATCTTGAAGATAATTTATCATTATATTTAAATCTCTAATATGTTCAAGAAAAGTTTCTAGAGAAATATTTCTTTTTTTTATAGTTTCTTTTACTATGTCAACTAAATTATAGATCTTTCTTAAACGAGAAGTTTCAGTTTTTACTCCTTCTATTTGAAAAGACATTCTGATCAAACCATTGATTTTTTTATTTCTATCATCTTCAAAAATAAAAGATAGACGTCCAATATGATCAAATAATAAATCAAATTGAATAAACGTGCTATAAACAGCTGCTCAATCTAAATTGATTTTTTGTTGTTGTCAGTTTTTTTGTAAATTTTTATTGTATTCAAGCCATTTCTCAGCATTATAAGATTCCGATTTTATTGGTATATTCGGCGAAGTAGCTGGAATTAACAGTGAGATTTCATTATTGATCCGCTTTACATAAAGGAGTAAATTTTTATTTTGTCTTTGTCTTGTGGGTTTGACAATGTTTGTATCGCTTGTCTTTTTTGGAAAAGTAATATCGAGTCCCAATACTAAACAAACTAGATTCTTAAATTCATCAGAATCTATTTCTTGAATGAAATTAATCATTATATTCAAATTTCTAATAGCCTCAAGGAAATGGTCTAATTTTGTGACGGTCTTAACAAAAGCAACTAAGTCATAAACCTTTCGCCAGCGAGATACTTTGGTTCTTTCTATTCCTTCAATAGGAAAAGAAAATCTGATCAAATCTGTAATTTCTTGATCTTTATCTTCTTCGAAAGCAAAAGATGACCTTCTGACATAATCAGATAGCGAATCAAATTGAATAAAAATACTATAAACAGCAGCCCAATCCGAATTGACCTTTTGTTGTTGCCGAGTTTTATGTAATTTTACATTGAAATCATTCCACACAACAGGATTATATGAAATCGATCTTATTGGTATAACTGGTGAAGCAGTTGGAGGTAAGGGTGGTATTTTATTTTTGATTTGCTCTTCATAAAGAAGTGAATTTTTGGTTTGTCTTGTGTTTACCATTTTTTTTTCTGGAAAGCGAGTTAGAATTTTGTGATACAGTTTAAGTACTTGTATATATATAGCTTCGATGCATATTGATGATCATATGCAATAATCTCAATTTTGCATTAATTCAATAAATTGACCAGCATTAACCTTCCAACTATCAGATTTTGAGCTTAACATCTAGCCATGCTAGTAATGCTAGTACTATTATGTTAGCTAACCCTCCTAATTTAAAAATACAGTCAGTTATCCAGAAAAATAGAATGTAGCTATTGTTCAATATAAAATTCAGATTTTAAAACTGTTTATTTTTTCGCCATTATGAACAAATCAATCCAATTCAAATAAATTGAAAATATTCAACTTTTAATATAGCACGAACCCATCAAAATCTGGATGCCCGAATCCACGACTTCCAGCCATTATTTCAGCAAAAAAATCTCTTATTTGATCTATAAACATATCCAAAGTTTTATTCAATTCCAAAAGTTCTATGCACAACTGGCTCGAAAAGTTCTGTATAAAAATATAAATGCCGCGATTGTTTGACCCTATAAAAATTGATAAAATCAGTTTAAGCTTCTATGAATCAATTGGAGAAAGAAAAATATACTTAACAGCCAAATCACAATAATTATAATTATTTCAATAATAAATATAAAAATCAGAAATTTATTGCAAGTACAAAATTCCAAGAGTTGTTTTTTCACATTTCTAAAATGATTGCAAAATTCCAAGAGTCATTTTTTCACATCTCTAAAATGTAATTTTTCCTGACGAATTTTTTTCTTATCCATTTTAAAATTCATTAATTTTTTGATGCTTAGAATTTTTAGTTTTTATAAATTTTTGCAATCCAATAAACCTACAACACCTTTACTTTAATGTATATATATATTCAAACAAAATCATTTCATGTAACAGATCAATGTTATAATTTATATTGCTGCTATCATGAAATATACTGTATATAACTCGGAGTTTCATTTTGAAATTTTTGTAAAGATAAGGTAATATAAATAACCGCAGCAAAGATGGCATAAATTAAAACAAATATGAATTAATTATCTCCTTATTTAAACAAGTTATATAATTAAAAGCTGTTTTGTAGAAATATAGGATTATGTAATATGAATAACTGAGACAAAGATTGCATAAATTTACAAATTTTCCTGACAAATTTTTTTATTACTTTAATGCAAAAAATTTTTAAAATGAATAACAGAACATATTTAATTATAATAATGTTCATTTTAACCATGGCTAAATATAACATAAATTAAGTCAAATATGAATTAATTATCTCCTTATTTGAATACGATAAAATTAATCAAACGACCTTTCTTCGCGTATAATTATGTAACAGATCAGCACTTCATACGTAAATCGGAGTTTCATTTGGAAGCTTTGTAAAAATAAGGTTAACGAATAACCGCAGCGAAGATAACATAAATTTCATAATTTAGGATCTCCTTATTTGAACAACTCGTTTATGAGAAAATCAACATGAAAAGCCTTTTGCAATAGCATAACAGATCAGCATTATATACTGTACATCATACACAACACGGAGTTTCTTTTTAATGTTTTGTAAAGTAGGTAACACGAATAGCTGCGATGAAGAGCATAATGAATTAATCACCCTATTTGAACAAGTTCCTTTATGAAAAAAAAAGCTATAAAATCGTGTAAAATCTTGTTTTCAAAATTGAGCTGAAGTTTGCAAAATGTCAAATAAAAACAATTTTAAGCTCTTAGCGCCTTTGCTGAGGATTGCTTGTAAAACCACCGTTATTTTTTTTTCTTTAATTTTCCTGACTATAATTTCTTTGATTTCTTTGATCCTTGCTACTTTGATTTTCGCATATTTAATATTATTATTGAATACGATTCTGATTCCACCTCAATTGCTGTTTCCTTGTCTCGTTGTTGGGTTTTCCTTATTATTAACAAGTACTATCTACAAATCTGAATCAATTTGCTCAGATAAAACACCTACAAATAAAGATTCTTATCTAGTTTACGAAAACTCAATGGAGCATGAGAATACTGATACACCTAAAAATAAAGATTCTTATTTAGCTGTATTATTTAAGAATATCAACAATTCTGAATCCCTTTGTTCAGATAACGGTCGACTACTCACAAATGAAGATAATACTACGAAAAGACTTTCATCGGAACGAAAATCAATGCAGCCAATTTTTGTTAAGAATATCTTCAAACTTTGTATATTGGCATTATCTAAAAGCCAAGACTTTTTTAATTATGAATTTTTACCTCTTTCTTGCATCAATACTACAATTTCCTCTTTTTTATTTAAAATAAACATAAAACAATTTTTAGCCAATTTAAATATAAAAATTGAGAAAAAACTGTTTTATTTCGCAATATTCTTGTTGCTCTTATTTTATATCATATACTTATTCTATCCTGGTATTGCATTCATCATATTCAGTACATTTTCCAGAAGATTAAGATTCCATTTAACAATGAAAAAATATCTATTATTCCATTTAATGTTCAAATTTAATCCTGTGCAATATAAAAAATTAGACCCTAAATCTGATCAATTTAATTCCATTTCTAAAAGAATAATAGGTAATTAATTTTATAAATTAAGAAACAGTGGAATAGACGAAAAGCATTATTCTACGTTAACCTACTGCCGATTTAATAGAATTATTAGTGATTTATTTATAAAAAGAAAAGCAAAAGCACTCTCTTTTCAACCCTATTATCAATTTTATAATTCTTCTTCGGTTATAGAAAATATATATTCACATTTAACTTTCGAATATAAATCCTTACGAACAAAAATGAATGATATATCCAGTCTACTACAAGTCTGAGAAATCAAATCTGATAATGAAGAACAAGTACAAAGTCTGGAGCATCAACCTGTTTTTGAAACTATTAATACTGAAGAATCAGAATTATTTATTGAATTGAGTGATAGAAAAAGTATTGATCTATGTAAAAATGATCCAAAATATGAAGTTGTAAACGCAGATTATGAGGATTATATATTCTATAGAAAAGTCAAATACCCCATTGATGAATTTTTAGAAAACTAACAAAATGAAATCAAATCCCTAACTAAAGATACTCGCTTATTAAATGATTATTTGTCCAACAAATACAGAGATATACGTGAAGATATTCTTGCTTTACAGAATGATATAGAAGATTTAGAAATTCGATATTTAAAAATGGAGTTTGGAGAATATTAATGGAGGTTCCTTATGTTCATACTTAATTGTGAGACAATATCATAAAGACGAACAAATAATATTCCTTTTTAATTTTTCATCTTTATAGTAGAAGAAAAACGAAAAATACAAAATACTTAATTAACTATTTATTTATTTTTGTAAAATCAAATTGTAAATAATCGGCTTAAAAACAAGTGCTCACCATTAATGGAAAAATCAATACCGAAAAATACAAAATTAAAATTTAAATTATGGGGACCGATGGCGGCCTATGAAGATGGCATAAAGCAAGTAATTACTCGCGTAAATAAAATAAAACCTCAAGGGTGCTTTCGATCATCATTTTTTTACAACAACTACAAAAAGTAGAATCTAAATCTGATCAATTTAATACCACCCCGATCCCTATTCAAAAAATACTTTTGAAGAACTATTTCAGTTTATTTCTCATAGAGCGAATTATGATAAAAAATACTTTGAATCTATGTTAGCTCACAAAATTTAAATACAAAATACTTATTTATTTATTTTTATTTTTGTAAATCAAATTGTCTAAATAATCGGCTTAAAAACTAGTGCTTTAAATCGAATAGCCTGAGAGAGAGAATTCTATAGAAATTTTTATCAGCAATTCAAACTACCGAAAAATCACATGAACTTATCATATACCGTCAATTTCTGTCATCTCGAATCAAAGAATTCTCGTGATCTAATGGAAAGTCAATCGAGCTATCGTTTATTCAAGTATAGAAGACTATGGCTAAAAATATAATCGATAAGTAAATTTTTTAAGTCTTTAATAATGTTATTATATATGTAGTAATGTTTTTTTTTTTTAGGAATGACTTGCGAAGTAAGGCAAAAGCTCGAATATTTAAGACTGGCTTAGATAACGAAGCTATAATCGATTTTCCATTTTTCATTAGAATTCTTTGGATCGAGATGACAGGAGCTGATGGCATTTGATAAGTTCATGAGATTTTTCGTCAGTCAGAATTGCTGGTAAAATTTTCAATAGCAATTCTCTCTTAAGCTATTCACATTGAGGACTAGTTCAAAGCCATTATTTAGTCAATTTTTATTTATTTATTATTTATTTATTTATTACTCAAATTATTTTGTCATAATTTATATTAGAAAGAAATTTTATTTCATTATCGCAACAACTCGATTCCAAAAATTTTTAATTAAATCATACAATTGTAAAAAAAAATTTTTTTTTAAAGAAAGTAAATAACAATTAAATTTTCCTATTATAATTCTTCACGTACGTGAATCTCTTCGTTAAAAATTTTCCTGATTAATTATGGACTCTAGTAAATAAAAAAAAAGTTAACACAAGGATCTATTCATCACAAACATGGGGGTTGCCCACATCTTTCAATGATATCATCATGATAGTTACATATCATCCGGCTGACAATATGCAGAGTATACCACAACTATAACGTTCACCTAAGTGACAGCGTAACTTCAACCCATACATGTTAAGTAAGAATGGGGGTTGCCCACACTCACCTTCTTTTCAACTCCTCGGGTGAATGTTTTATTTTCAAAATTTCCGATTCTCAGGTACCACATAATTCACATTATTATATATATTAAAACCGGTTTAAAAAATATTATTACTGAAAAAATTATATTATACATAACAGTCTTAAGTCACATGACATGATGACAAAAATGAATTGTTCTGCAATTTTTTTAAAAATTCCTAAATTCGGTGATTTTTTGTTAGATCACATGACACGACACTAAATAATGCATTATACTAACATTAGTTGGCTCTTGTTTTAACAATAAAGTCATGTTTTCCATTTTGAATTTTGTAACTTTCTTTATTTTTGCATTTCTTTTGCTTGATGAGGATTTAATTATTATATCTCCTAAAATAGTAAGTTTTTTTGAATGGATGTAATTTTTAGATTTTCTCCACTTAATCCAAGAGAGAAAAAAATTTATGAAAAAAAGTTTTTTTGAATGATTTAATAGATTTAATTTGATATTTGAATTAGTGATCCTTTTATAGCAAACTCGATTATAAACATAATATTATTATTAAATAAAATCTATCTCATTCGAAATTATTAAATTTTTTGTTTTGCTTAAAAATTTCGTTATTTGTTAAGATTTATTTATTGTAAAAACCGGTTTTTATATTATTGTTTAATTATGGTATTAATACCCATTTTTACATTTCATGGTGCCAAATTTGCTATGTTAAGAATAGATTCAGTTAGGGACTTTAATTTGTAGTAGTACAATTAAAATCCAATTTATTCAATTTATTTCTTTTAATTATTAAACCGGTTTATGTAATAATTATCATTTATATTTTTTTATTACGCTATGAAGTCACATGATGATAGCAGTTGCAACAATTAACCTAAATTGATATTGTTCTTGTTCTTACATTTTAATAATAGTAATAATTTATTTTTTCCAACCTGAAAAGAAAATTTCTCAAGACCTGATTTTCGCAAATTTGCATTATCGCGCAGTACTTGGAATGATGAGTGCGTTCTAATACACATTCTAAGCCTCAAAAATACTGCGCGATAATGTACATCAGGCTTGAGAATATGAAAAAATTTTCCTTTTTTTGAATAAACAAGTATTTTTATTATAATTATTATTATATAAGAATAACAAGGAAAAAAAGCGCATTCCAATACGCGTGCTAAGCCCAATGCTGCGTGATAATGCACATTTGCAACTTGAATAAAATGTAAAATTTCCCTATAATCATTAACAAGTTTCTTATAATTAATTATTTATGCAAGAGTTAGATTTCTATGAATTTATTTAAAATAGGGCTATGCGAAATCGCATTCCTTAAAAATAAATTGCAAAATGGATTTTTTTAATTTCTTTTGTCTTACAATATTTTTATTTATTTGCTATTTAGTTATCGATTTGTCCAAAATCGAAGATAAAGTTATTGTGATCAATGAAGAGTTAGTAAAAGCAATGAATTACAATTCCGTAAAAGAAGCAACTGCCAACACAGTAAAAGAAAAGGATATGAAAAAAGAAAATCATGAGATTGAACGAATCAGAAAAGAAGGCTTGCTCCTCAAGCAAAAGAATAAACTCCTCAGGCAAAAGAATAATCGAGTCAGAAAAGAAAATTTGCTCCTCAATCAAAAGAATAAACGAGTCATGAACGATTATTTGCTCCTCAAGCAAGAAAATCATCGAGTCAGAGAAGAAAGTTTGCGTCTTAAAAAAGAAAATGAACGAAATTTTACAAACTCAGAACATTCAAGCGACATCGCAAAGAATGAGAGAAAAAGAAGAATTTTGTCGGATTTGGAAATAAGAAGACTTTTAAATATATTAAATCTAATCGATCCATTATTAGCCTACAAATGGTATCAAATCTTTAAATCTGAAAGTAACATTGAAATTATTGAATCGAAAATTAAAGATCTCGATATATTTATACATAAGCAGCTAATCCCAGAATTCAAGAATGTTTTTAATTATTTTAATTTTATCGGATTAAATATAGTAAAGGTGACACTTCCGGCAAATTTTACAGGAGCAAAGAATTAGACGAATCACATAATCACGAAAATTGACGCAACACCACTTCATATGACCAATCAGGTATTGTGCAACCAGATTGGTCATATGAAGCGGTACTGCGCCACATTTCGCGATTTCGTGAAAGCTAACTCTTCGTCCTTGGAAACTTTGCCGAAGGTGTTACCTATTCTATATTTACTTAATTTTTCATAGTTTGTAAATTCTTAATATGGATTTAAATTGACTATATATTTTCTTGTAATATGATATATAAAAAGACTTTTTTATGAGTTTATTATAAAATATATACTTGTCTCTAAAAAAAAAAAAATTAAATTAAAAAAATAAAGTTATATTCGTTAGCACATTCGAAGCAATTTATTTATTTCTTTAAAATTTTATTATGAGCGACAAATGAAATTAAATATTACAACATTTATTAATGATAAAGCTAAAATGTTTGTAACATCCAGTTGATAATAAGTTATTTAGTTTTATAAATGTTTGAGCAAAAGAGTGCGAGTGTGGGTTTTTATATTAATTCAGTTTTGACTTATTAATAAATCGATTCATTTAATCAAAAAATATGGACCCGTGGGTCCGTTAAGTCATGCGATATTATTATGATACTTAGCGTTAATAAAAAGGCTATCAAAAGGAATAAAAAATATACAGAGTGTAAACAATTTTTTTTATTATAATTTATTTTTAACATTCTTTTTGTTATCTAAATAAACTTTAGCTTTACATAAAGTTTCAAAAGTAATAACTCCTATGAATCAATCAGTCCATTCTCTGACGGCAGCTAGAGGTCGCGGAAAATAAAATGGGTTCAAATAATAAAATTTATATTAAATTGCAAAATGGAAAGTTTATATATAGTGATGGCTACAATTCATGGCTGTGTGGTATATTCCTATTGTGACTAACGCTCAGGTTTAGAAAAAAAATATCAGAATTTTATAAATACAAGAAACATGTAATACGCGTTAAACCCCATCCCTTTCATGAAATCTGAATTCTTAAAATAGACTAAAAACAAGATATGTTTAATGAATCTATTTATTAAAACCAATCTTGTAATAAGAGGAGGAGGCTGTGCTAACACGAAAAATTTTAGAATTATAAAAATCGATTATTAGAAATTCAATAGTTCACAAATTTGCTTTTCAATAAAAAGCGCACTAAGTAACTGTTTGAAATTCAATAGTTCACAAATTTGCTTTTCAATAAAAAGTGCACTAAGTAACTGTTTAAACTCTTTCAAGAACTAAAATCTCATCAATATAATGCCTCATCGTCAGAATTTCAGATCTCAATTAAGATAAATTTAATTACCGGTGTTTAACAATACGTATAGCACACTTCTAATGTTTACTTTCTTGAACAACAAATACATACAATTGATAATTATATTTATGTACTAAGAAGTCGATTCCATTGCATTTTGTCACAAAGATGCCTCCATTATCGTTATTACATCATGTTAAGACATAGGTGCCAAGTCTATTTAAGACATAAACGCCAAATTTATTTTAATTTGTTATTATGAAGATACTATATGATTTAAAAATGTATTGATCGCGTGACGTATTACTTAAATGATTTTAAGTGATTACGCAAAAATTTGTTCCGCTTTTAAATTTAACAAAAGATTTAGAGCTTAAGTACCCGTGGGATCAGATAGATAATTATATATAGTAGTGACGAATAAGACTCCATTTTTTGTTTGACGATATCATTGTGAAAGTAAATTTTCACATATGTGCTTAATTATTGTGTAGAATACTAAAGAAATAAATTTTCTAAATAATTGTGCAAAAAGTTATTTACTGTATTTAGAATTCTATGTAGAAGTTTTAAATATTAAATATAAAAAAAGTGACACTTCCAGCAAATTTTCCAGGAACGAAGAATTAGACGAATCACGTAATCACGAAAATTGATGCAGCGCCACTTCATGGACCAATCAGTATTGTGCAAACAGATTGGTTATATAAAGTGGCGCTGCATCAAATTTCGTGATTATGTGATTCGTCTAATTCTTCGTTCCTGGAAAATTTGCCAGAGATTTTACCTACTCCATATTTATTTCATTTTTCATTTTTTTGGTACAAATTTTAGTTTGTATATTTTTAATTGACAAGATGTATTATTTTACAATATGTTGTTATATAAAAAAAAAATTACATGTCTTAAAAAAATTAAATTATAAAAATTAAGTACTTTGACAAATAACTGCATCCAATTTTTTCCCCATTTATTCAGCCATTACCTAGCCAAAAAGAAATTTCACATACAGCATTACTAACAGACAAACTCTTAAACTAAACATTGTTTAGTTTAAGGGTTCGTATGTTGTTTTAGTAAGATAATTATGATCAACATTGTAAGAAACAGGTATAATTAGTAAATGTAACATAATCGAATAAAGTATTTGTATGCATGTTTTTTTGCCTTTATCAACTATGCAATAAGTGAGGTTATAGATTAATTTTTGTTTTTAAAAATGTTGAAGTGCAAAACAATTAAATTCGAATTATTTAAAAAATACTTTATCTTTAAAAATAATAAGAATGATAAGAATTACTCTTTTCATGAATATTTAGTTTATCATATATATCATGGAAATTTCATCGCAGAGCATTTAAATAACGAGAAAACTAATTTTGTGGGTGCTTATAACCAACTTAAGCAATCCTATTTAGAGAGTAATAAACAAAAATTAACAGAAGTAAGTTTTAAAAATAAAAATTGTAAAGCTTTTTTAATAATTTTTTTTTATTTTAAATAGGATGACAGAATTATGACGAGTGTCTATTTTGATTTGATGAAAGAAATTCGGCAAGATTATACAAAAACCCATATGTTGTCTTTGTTGGTTATCGATGCAAATAAAAAATTTGGCTGGTCAGAATTTGATCCTTCACAAGATGCTAAAACAATTTCAGCAATGCAGAGTATAAAAAATGTATGTATTTCTTGATACATTATTTTTAATATTTATAAAATTCATTTATAAATTTTAATAGTGGTCTTCGAATAGCAACAAATTAATATCAACTATTGGAAAATACATTTCAGAAGCACCAAAAGAAAAGTTAAATGAAGATGACTCTTTATATTCTGGTATAATTGATTCAGAAAATATTGAGAATCAAAAACCTTGCTTGTTTCAAAAACTTTCAAATCTTAGTAAGTGGAAACAATTTAATGAAATTGGATTAACCAAACAAAAGATGCCATTTAATCAACATAATATTAAAGCTTGTCTTGACAAAAACGAAAATGAAATAGAGAAAAATGGAAAACAATTAGTTCGTGATTTAAATCGTATTTGGAATAATTCATATTACCAGGAGAGATCAAGTCTTATAAATGAATAGACTTTTACGCACAATATCTTACCTTTTATAATTAATTTTATTTCTCCAGGGTTTTTTAAACGATGGGATCAAGCTCAAAGTCTTTCAGCAAAAGATCGTGGTGCTCGAAAATTTGGCGATGTAATTAGATATTTTACAGGAAGTGATAAAAATCTTTATAAGCTCTTTTTCGTAGAAGTATCATATGGACCATTTCATCAAGATCCAGAACCTCATATCGATGACGATAAAAAAAAATTAGAAAAACCAGGTAAAGATTTGATTGACTGAATCAATAAGTTATTAAATAGAGAGGAAATTCCAGTTATTTTGGTGCATTTTTTTCGAGAAGAAATTTTTTTTTATATTATGGATAAAAAAATTTTACCAGCATACAGGAAATTATTAATAGGACATACACAAATCCCATTGTTTAAATGTTCATATAACACGTTAAACAAATTTTTTTTAGAATTATGAAATATTAGGTCGTATCTATCTCATATTTTTTATTCTCTGAATTTCTTAAATGATAGTGAAACAGTTACTACGTCAAAAGAAACTATAGCTACATTTCCTTCTCCTAGTAGAATTCCCACCAGAAAAAATATAAATTTTAAAGGTTCGAGATGAGATCTTATAGCATAAGATTTATGTAATCGGGTTTGATTTCGCTCTATAAATATTTTGAATAAAATATGTTAAATGTTTTTTTTTCTCAATAGCATTTAAGATTCATGCATTATTAATCAGAGTTTATTCTAAGTAAATTTGGGTTCCTCAAACAAAAATAATTCACAAAGATATGTCTCATAGACCTTATGTGAGAATTAAGCAAATCTGCTTCAAAATTTGAAGGTGTTCAGAAGTACGCCTTCTTAAGGATTCTGAAACTCTTTGTTTAGAATTATTTAAATTGCCAATAAAGAATAATTATTGAGTAAGGTTCTAGTGTTGCAAATTAAAATAGTTCGCAAAGATATGAACCATTTGACCTTATATGAGAATTAAACAAACCTGCTTCAAAATTTTTGAAGATGCTCAGAAGTGAGCTTTCTCAAGGGTACTGGGTCTCTTTGTTTAGAACTATTTTAATTTGATGTAACCATACTCGAATAATAGCAGCTTTCATCATACAAAATTATAATTTTAATATAATAGTGATAATTACCTTATTGTGATGTCCTGGATAATTGAAACCAACAATGTTAAAAACAAATTATGTGTTGATAATCAACAAATGTAAACAAATGTGTGCAGATCACACGTGATCAGGGCGGAACAGCTACGTTTTGAAACTTTTTTTATTCAAATTCTATGGCTTCATAGAATTCAAATAAAAAAAAATTCTATCGAATTGGTTGTTGAGTTATCTTCGCTCAAATTCAGAGAAAATCAAAACGCCTATCAAATAAAAGCTATGCCAAATTTTTTATTTAACTTTGAGCAAAGATACCTCGACAACCATCTGACCAAATTTAATAAACTTTTTTTTATTTGAATTCTATGGCTTTATATAATTCATATAAAAAAAGATTTATTGAATTTAGTTAGATGGAAAATAACTGCCAACATAAAAGAAAAGAATAATGATATTAATATTCTCCGAAATCAAATTGATGACAAAAAGTCAGTAAAAGCAATGAATTATGGAAGTTATGAGATTGGCAAGAAAATGATTGTGTCAGAAATAAAAATTTGCATCTTCGTATTTGATATACCTGTTACTGAATCTTATTATTTCCGAAATCATAATCAAATCGGCTGAAACATCATTTGGTCAATTTTTATCAGGTGTTCCAGGAATTATGAAAATAACAGTAAAAAAAAAATAGGGTATTACCTGGACGGACCTAAATGTGGGTCCAGGTCTGTATATCCATAGGTCCGGGTCCGGTCTGCCAACTGGACCAGACCCGGATCTTTTGCAGAACACTACCGATACTGTTCAAATTGTATCACTATTTCACAGGATTGATTTCTTTATAAGGAAAGTCATTTTTCAAAAAACGTGTTATCTTTCAACATTTCATTTTTTTTCAGTTTTTGATTTTGAAAATGAACGATGAACAAGAAAAATAGTTCGAGTGTTAATAAATATAAAGTTAAAAAAACAAAAAAGGTATAATATCATAGTATTATATTAAGTATTGCATGACAAGTGTACTTTTGAATATAAGTTACGCTGAAGGTTGAGTGAGCTTTAGGTCTGTTAGTATCGTTAAGATATCCGCTAA